GTTTTCTGACGTTTTTGTGGCGTTTGTTCGCGGAGAAGTTGGAGCATAAAAATCTGTTGAAATCGTTTCTAGCATAATGCAATATTTTCAACTTTTGATGTTAATAAAAGTTCGGGAAGTATGTGTTTTCATGAAGACTTTTTGCCTTTAAAATTCGCTCGTTAAATCAAAACACTTTCCACCGTTTCTGTGCTTTACTGTTTTACTCAAAACAATTTATTTTCAATTACTTTAATTATTTTAAGCATTTTTTTGGTTTAATTCATTTAATTAAGCATCGAATTTATTAATATATTTTAATAAAAGTTAATTTATTTAAAGTTTTTTCACATTATTTTATATGAAACTTAAATTCAAAAAAGTTTAAGTGACTATAATAAGCAGAGAGCGCATAATTAGTGATAAAAAAATATGTTTTTATAAAAAATAATCAAATTAATATTTTTAAAACACATTTATATTTTTTTAAAATATTAAATTATGACTATTTTTAAAAAAAAAATATTGTTTCAAATTTTTATTAATTTTTTATAAGGATTGTATTATATGTATCAGTAAGCAGACTAAAAAATAAGTATAATAACAGCTGCAAAAACCACATTTGAAGCACAATGCATCTATGAAATATTTATTCCAATGTGTTGACCTAATCATATTTGATTGCTATAACTCAAAATCGTCCATTTTTTCTATATGCTTTATAATCGATTTCAATATTGTTGAATTTTTTTTTTTTATTTTTTTATGTTTTAATATCGACTACAAAATTGTTTACTGCATTTTTATGCAACTCTACCAACAATATATATATATATATATATATATACATATACATATATATGTGAAAATGCAAGGATACACGCTCGCAAGTGTATAAATAGTCCTAAATATATAGATACATATATATAAGAATATTTTTAAATTGTGTTTTGGTGCGTAGTGTGATTCGTCGTGCATTTGTGTAGATTTTTATATAGCGAATGTCCGTCCATATATTGTACTTTTTATGTTGTTCTGTTGCTGTCAAAGCACACATAAAATACATTCAAACCAGAGTGGCCATAAATTATTCCAACAATAATTTTTGTCTAGCAAACAGGCTCAGAATTATTGCTTTGACAGACTACAGTTGATATAAATTTTATTGCTACATTGTAACCAGAAGCAGAGAGGAAATATTTTGTATTTATTGAGAAATTCATATTAATTGCTAGAACCTGTCAAACATAAAACGAAAAAATATTTTGAATTTTTTTTATTGAACAAAACGCGTTTGATATTTATTAAAAAATGGTGGCAATTAAATTAAATCTTTTAAAATTTTATCGTTTACGAATAATTTTGAAACGACAAAATAACACTTATACGCCATGGCACAGCTAAAAGGTGAAAATGTATTTCATTTTTATGTTTTCTAATATTTATGAATAAATTTGAAATATTGTAATATAAATCAATTTTCAATTGTGGATTAATATAGTTGATAACAGCTAGTACACCTTTACTCTTTCTTCTGGTTGCAACACTGCTCCATTTTTACAACACTGAGAAAACCTGTCAAATGAATGATGACGAATGATTAAATGATGATTGTTAAAAGTATTACTAGATATCTATGACAATTGTAATATTGATGGAATATTATTATTATTGTTAGAGCATGTATCACTGCGACCATCGGGTCTATTATACCCCATTCCGGGCTTGGAGTAGATCTTTAAGCCCTGTTGCGTCAATAAAACGTAATACAGAACCTACTTTACAGAGTTTTATTGGCTCTTCCGTAACAATATACATTCCTAGGAGCCTATTTCGTATGTGCATTAGCGCAGTGCATTTTAACAGCATATATGTGGCCGACTTCTCACTCTCTTCACAGAATCTGCTATTTGTATCCGTAAGTACACCCAGTTTTGTAAGCTGATGTTTTAGTTTACAATGCCCTGTTAGAATTCCTATAATGTTGAGCCTTTTCCTAGTTACTGTATTTGGGCACTTTTACTCTTTAATAGATGTAGAGTTTCTGCAGAGACTCACCCATCTCACTGACTAATTTGAGTATTCTTCATAATCTTCGTGGTTATTCAATAATTGTTCTAAGATTTGCGTACCGCCCCGTGCGGTTAGTGATTACTCTGAGATTAGATAGTGCTAAGTAACACAGCGTGTCAGTTTTTGCATATAGCTTCAGAGGTCTGTTCCTTATGTATTTTTTGACCGGATCTATTTTAAGATCTCTTAGCATGTCATTCATACGGATGTACCATGGCACTCTGAAGAGGCTACGTAGAGCCTGACTTTGAGCAACTTCTAGCTTCTGGATAGTAGAGTCGGCAGCTTTAAAATACACGACACGCCCATAAAGTAGTGCTAATCTAATTATCTAGGTGTAGATCAGCTTTCTGTTCTTCATGCTAAGGTTATTGTGTTTGAAAAGTGGTTGTAAGCATTGCAGTGTTTTTGCGCAACTTCTTCTTTTGACTTGTGTATGATGGTTCTAAGATTTTCTTTTCATAGGTTCTTACAATCCTTGTTATAGGTACCAATAAGTGATTAGGATTGTTTTAATCCTGGTATATTATCCCAGTAATCCTTTTTATTATGGTTCTCCTTTATTTTTATGAGAGAAAGGAGTGTACTATTTCCTACTCCACAAAAAGGTTCCGGCCATATCAGCGGTTTATGGAGTATTAAGAATAATAATAATAAAAAAAAAAGAAAAAATAACACAATTCGTATCGGCCAATAAAGACTTTTTGCTATTATATTAAATACAGCGTTTAAGATCTTGAACGTTATATTCTCATGACTGTTGTTCTTTACGTAAATATTTGTGTCAATGCATTTTACAGAGACTATCTACTACTGCTATTGGTCTATTTATCGGTGAAAAATAGAAAAATTATGAGTTAAGCTTATATGATAAAGAAACTGCCAAATGATTATATTTGTATTGTATTACTTACTAACTTCATTATGAACTAGATATATATTCATATAGCATTTGCCGAAAAAACAAGTTAAGTGATAATTTTTTTTTTTCAACTAAGCTTCTTACAGTTACACTTGTTATTTAGTTAATTTTATTTAAAAACATTTTTGTGTTTTATACTTTTTTATCTCCGGAATAGTGGCAATTTTAATGAGAAGCTTCCACCTAACAGATGTGCACACCGCAGCGTATTTTTCGCTTGTAATTCACATTTTTAAACCATTTTCTCACGCAACCATAGAACAAATGTAAACCCATAAAAAGTTTACAAAAAAAATAAAAAACACTTAAAATGTAAGTTTTATATGCAAAATTGTGTTAAAAAATAAAATTTAAAATAAAAAAAAAAATAAAATTCTACGCAAACTCAAGTAAAAAAACTTACTGTACCATTTTTGGTACGATTTAATTTTTTTTTTTTTTTCAATGTATTAAATACTGCAACATAATTTAAGCTTTGTCCTTTTTAGTTAAATTAAAGAAAAAAGGATTTTGCTGTTACTTTTCCGTTTTGTGTGAATTAAACTTGAAATTACGGTTAAAATTTGGCTGGAAAAACCTCTTCATTATGCGCTCAATTATTTTGTATTTCATCCTTGCCGTGATTTTCTATTTGCTTAAAATTTAACATTTTTTTATTGCATAATATATTTAACAATTTACTACCAACAGTTTTGCAGTAGCAATAAAATGTATGCAATATTAGGTAAGCACCAGCAGCAACAACAACAACAACAACAACAACAACTTTAATTTTTGTTTAAGGGCGACAACATCTGTTGCAACTGCAACGTTTTAATAAATATAATAGCGCTAAGTTAAGCAAAATATAAAGACCTATTTTGTCCAAAACAGAGTTTAGTATATAGACAAATATATAACAATACGACTGAACTATGTCCCATACGTACAAACAACTAATATTTACTGCACCCGTTGCATAGGGTGCGAAAAATAAGACATCATTCATCTCATAAGACGCTGCCCTATATCCTCCACTGCTCCACTGAGGCAAAACCATATTAACTACACCTGAATGCTACGCTTTTGTGTTCGTACATTTTTCTGGAGTTTTAATTTTATATTTCTTTCGAGACTGGGGAACAAAAAATGTCTACACAGACCCATAGAAACGTCTTTCTGTGGATAGTGCGCGGTTCGCGCTAATCGCTAACACGCTAAAAAACTACCCTTTTCAGGATGAAGTACATGTCCCGGACATGCTTCAGACTTAATCCTACGACGCTGCTGTTGTACCTGCGTGCAGGCGCCTCTTTATTGCACGGAGTACTGCCTCCACGTGCCAGTTGTTTTCACTTGCCAGTAGTAAAGATACTAAGTTTGCAGTTTGGCTCTCTCAGTTGACAATTGATTGCACTCAAAAAACGTGTATTTTACATCGTCGACATCTGCTTGGCCATAAATGCAACTCTGCTCTTGTCGAATGTTCATCCGGTACAGGTACTTGCCGAAGTAATACTGAGAAAGTCATGCTAATGTTACTACACGATTCGCATGATTTCTTATATTATAATATTGAAAATTAAGCTTTGCTGTACTTTATTTTAGGAAGTAGCTATACAAAAGTTTAATAGAACCCGTTTAACAATAAAAATAAGTAAAAAACAAAAGAACTAAGCGTATTTCACCTTCTTTCTTCTAAGGAAGAAAAATAGATAGCTAGCTGAAATAGGCTACCTGGCTGGCTGAAACTACGAACAGATAGATTTCAATAGATATTGGATTATAGTGCAGTTAATGCATTTAATTTACAAATCGGTACAAGTCAGCATATAATCATATGTAGCGCCTTAGTGCAATACATATCATATGACTACCTCATAAGTGTCTACCTCATAGATTAGTCGATATTTTTGTAAAAAGTTCTTGCCAGATTATAATTGTTTTACTTTTTATTGCATTTAAAAAAAAAAAAAATTAATTGTAATATTTTTTTACTAAAAATAATTTATTTTCAAAAACATATATATAAATAAAAACAAGGTAATTAAAAAATGTTAGTAACGAAATATGATTAATGAATATTGTGTTTATAACTCAAATATTAAATATAACAATTATCGCTATCAATGACTCGAAGAAGTTCAACAGATCCAACGGATTTGTTTAGTTGCATTATTTGAACCTTTTTTATATAAAAGAAAAAAAAAACAAATTACTTTTCCATAGAAATTTTTTAAATATGACAATAATTTATATTACATCATCCCTGATAGGCGCATCAAGCATCTGGTCATTTGTGCAGCTTAAGTCAGACAAACCCTTCATTTTGAATAGAGAACCAAAGTGATCGCTTTCAGTGATCTAAAAGTATTTTTGAATAAACGTTATTAAATATTTTAATATTTTAAAGTTAATAACCTTAATAAATTTTCTTTAGAGATATATTAATTGAACATTACCTTAATTTGTTTGGAAATAACACGATTGGATTGCATCAAATTCACATCAAAATCAAACCCTTCCCTAAAGCTGTGATTAGGCTATGAAATGAAAGTATACAAAAATTATAATATCGATATTTATAAAATCCACATTAATTTTTTTAATTAATTTTGCAGTTAAAAATTTATTTTAATGTATGACTCACGTTATATTCTATTATGTCACCGCGGAATTTGTTGGGATGAACTTTTGGGATACGATTAAGTAAACGTGAAACATGCATAATTTCCTTTCAATAAAAAAAATGGTGGATGATACTATAACTAAATAAATTACAAGAAAAGATATTCAAAGATATTTAAAGACTGAAAAAACCGTATATATCCAATATATTACCAATATAAAGTTACAGACTTAAATTTCGTAGACTAAACAGTCTGTTCCAGATTCCTTACGAATGAGTCTATAAAAACTATTGGCGTACCGATATGTGTGAGTGAAAATTTGTAGGTAAATGGTGTATACTTTATCTACTTACTGTCCAAATTTAATGGGACAACATAAAGAAAAAATATTAAAATTTGCTCTAAATTTTGTAAAATGGAGCAGAAGCATACGTATTGCTTAAAAAAATATTGGTTTATAGGTTTATTGGTATGGTAAATACCACTAGTGTCGTGAGGACGTTGAAGATAATGGTCAACTAGTTCCACCAGAAACCAATCTTAATAAATAAAACAGTAAGAAATTCAAAAAAAAAAAAAGATTTAAAGTAAGCGAAGAGAAGAGGAGAAAATAAGAATACAACACACTCTAACGGACTAACAAAAAACTGGAAGACGTGCTAAACATCACCCAAAGTAAAAAACATATCAGACATTATAACCGATGAGAAAACGTTCTTCGTTTTTAAAATATAAGCCAAAAACAAAACGTTAAGGAGATCATGGAAGTCACCAGGAAAGCCAAAAGAGCTCGGAAGCAGGAACAGAAATCGAGAAAATGTTGACCTTTTCCTCCGACTTAAAAAAGGTTTTTTATAGTGATTATGTAGTGAGAAAGTAGAATACGATATCTTTATACAGAATCCTTTAACTTCACATAATTAGCGATTATTCGTCGTTTTACTTTAACATCACTAACAAAAAAACATAAAAAAGATAAAAACTACAATAGGTACATTACAATGAATGTAGTTTTTTTAATACAATCTTATTCCAAACTACTGAATAGTTCAATAAATTATCAAAGAAGCACTTTTTTAATAATCTATTCTAAAAACGCAGCTAAACAGTCGCAGTGAAAATGCTTTATTATTTCTTTCTTTTTTACTGCAATTAAAAAGAATACATGGGTTCCCAAATACGAGTGACCATAAGGGACTGCTGTAAGTCATGAGCTAAGTCACCCATGAATTTACACATGAGTTTTACGTAATTATTTGCCTTAATTATCTTCAGAGAAACATAGATGCCAAAGCAGCTAATTGGTCCAAACCGCACTTTTCATCCTAAAAAAATCATTGAAAAAGACTACACATTCAAATAAATCTATTATTTCAACACAAGACTGTCAAAATATTTATATGCCCATATCTTAGTCTTTGGTCTGTTAACATATACTATATTCATTATGAAGTATAGCTTAGGGTAAAATTCTAATAAGAGCCATTTTCACATGTCCTTCTTTTCATCACAAAATATTACTTAGGGTATGTTAAAGGTATCGTCACCGCCTAAATATTCACCCTTTGGTTAGGATTAGTGATTAGTCTTTGGACGTTACACGTTTTCAAATTTAAAACTAATGCATTTATATAAATATTTGCTAAATTTTGTTTCAATATTATTTAAAATATTGTTATTATTTGTAGTTAATTCACCTACCGTTTGAGTTGGAAAGTTGGTGTCAAATTTATTCTTATTGGACTTAACTGTACTTCCTGATACCAATTCATATGGACGGTTTCGCTTTCTGATGGTGAAAAAAGAAGTATTTGGATCCCTAGTTATAACATTTTTACGGCCATCACTTCGAATGGAACGTTTAATGATGTGAGAGGGAGCAGGTTTGACTGTAAATTTGCTAACATCTTCAACTGGACCTTCATTTTTGCATTCATTCAAAGTTTCATTGATACCTGGGTTGTCAGAAGTAAGCTTAGTAACATTTTGATCGATGCAGACATCAGCGCGATTTTCAACACTAGATACTTTATTTTCCTGCTTCATTTTTACTTGTTCGGAAAAGCGATCAGTCACCAATTTGCTTGAGATATCATCCATGACACTGTAAACTAACAAAGTTATTAAAACTGTTACAAAGATGAAGATATTTATACATATGTATCTGTACATAATTAGTTAATAATAGGCCTGTTTAACGAGCTACTCATAGTATAACATGAGTAAAACAGAAGTAAAATTTACACAAAAATACTTGAAAATTTGCTGGTGGAACGCGCTTGTGTATACACAGTGTTTACTCAAAGTTACTATGAGTAGCTCGTAGAGCAGACCTAATATATATCAAAACCTCAACAATATATAGTAAATATAATTATAGTAACTAATCAAATTACCTTATATACCTTAGGTTGTCGAACGATTTTTTTTACACTCACACTTTTTCGAATATAAAAATCTTACTAAAGTCTAGTTAGCATAAACGCCTACTTAGGACTAAACGTTAGGTCTATATCCAAAATTAATCAAAAAAATATCACCAAAAATTTATTAATAAAAAAGATTTTATCTATATATGCAAAAGTATTGTTCTCAGAAAACTAACCTATGGAATGCTCACCAGTCTAAACAAATCTATCATGCACACAAACTATATACTATCATCTTTTTCTAGATCTATTTTTATATCAATTTCATTCAAACTCGAAAATAAAGTAGTGCAGTACAATGTTATCATTAAACCAATCTGGATGTATGGTGTAAATCACCAGACAGATTGTAAAAGCTCCATTACTAGTATGTGAAAAACTCCATTACTCAAAGGGATCTCAATACACCCAAGGTATGTGATGTCATTCAAACTCGTATTGCGAAGTATTATTGGAATCTAAATACGCATTCAAACATCAAAGCCAGACAACTTCTTATCACCAATCTCGTATTTTCTCTTAGTAGGAAACAGCTTTTGAACCCGTAACAAATATTGTTTTTTGATTAATACATTAAAGCACTCTCTCTTCCATAAGTATCCTCATCTAGTTCTGAAGATTTGAGAGTAATTGTCATTAATTTTATTTAAAAAGGTTCAATGAAGCAAATAATTGGAAAAATAAATCCATTCAAACACTTTAGTTGTGTTTCAATTAATTCGGGCTTAAAGGTATATGTGGACGGTATTACGAGTCATACAATAAGTTCAGTTTTAATTTTGTTGAGCGAAAAATTTTCATGCCGTAATATTTCCTGATTTAATGACGTGAATTGAACACCAATCTTAGGCGATATGTTACCACTCCACAATTTATCGTCAGATTACGCAAAGAATCAGGTATATGCGTGCAGTTCTCTAACTCTCGTGAATCCACCACATTATGGCCAACAATTTATAGAAGATTAGCTCAGGGAAATCCAGTACTGTTAGATATCTCACGGAGGATAATCGAATGATATTTTATTTTAATTTTAACTCTAATGGTAAGAACCAAGATATGAGGAAATATAAATTTGATCAAATCTCAATCATAAGTGTTGCTTGGTAATCATAGTTGCAATGCTTGATCAGCAGACACTATTATAGCTTTCAAAATTAGTGCATTTTTGTGATTTCAATACCATATTCATTACAAGAACCAATCACTAGATCTATGCATTTGAGTTTTTACAATTCGAAAGATATTTTATTCTGACTAATGAACAATCTGACAGATTGTTAAGAAATTACTTCCCCAAGAACCTTTTTTTTTATTAGCCAAAATTAGTTGGTCGCAGGGAAAAAACAATCACGACAATAAACATCATTCTTCATACAAAATCCATACAAAAAAAAAGTGCAAAGGATTAAATTATTATTAGTGTAAATAGTGTATAAAATTTACATAAAGACTACATGTTTATACCATATTATAATTATTAATATCTATTTATATTACATTTTTATATTATTAAAAAATATCTTTTGTATATAGATCAGAAATGCATGTACCTACCTTTATAAGCTAAAGATGTGATAATAGATGCAAACCTCCTGAAGTAAGAGCGTATGAAGACTAGGCGGAATAGTAAAAGATATTGGCAGATGAATTTCCAAGCGATTGAGTAAATATTTTGAATCTATAATTTTAATAAAAATATTAGAAGCACATCAATTCTTTCGAAACAGATCACTTACGATAATTAAATATCAAATAAAATTCAAAGTGTAACTTTTAAAGCTAACTAACTGAAAATAACAAATAATTATATTTAAAATTTAATTTGAAAAACTCCATGCAATAATGATCGAACTAAGTTATAAAAAATTTTTAAAGTAATAAGTTGCTTTCAAAAAATTTACTCAATAGAACGACAATTATGCAGAAAATGCCTCAACAATCATAAAACCGTCAATTGCATTTTATTGGAGAAAAAATTCAATTTAAATAAATAAACCCTGAGTCAAAAAATTACAAAGTTAAATTTAAAAAAAATTTTAGATAGATTTTCATCAGATTTGCTAAAGAGTCCTAAAAAAGGGAGCACTCTACTAGCAAGTAAAGATCGCAACTCACTGCAGTATAAACAGTATTTATAAGCTGCTAAAAACACTAAAGGCCATGTTGTACAAATAGACAGACATAGATGACACATAGTTACATTGGCTTTTTGTAGTACTTTCTCGTCAGAGATATACGGATATGTTATGCAGACAGTCAAACCTCAATTATTACTTCAGTTTGAATGCATTTTGCTCCAAAATGCGCAAATTTTGACTTAAATAAATAGGCAATACTGTTTTGACTAATTTGAAGAGGTACAGCAAGCCCCGGTAGCGTGGCAAAATCCTTTATTAATTTTGAAAGCAACAATCTTAACTGTATACATAACATGGTTTTAAGGAATAGTTTCGTTTTCGATCTATTAATATATGACACTCTAAGGGCAGTTATAACCTTAAAGATTATATATGCAGTGATGTCTAGCACTTTATTGGTTTTGAAATAACTGTTTGACTTTTTTTTCTATTTGGATGGCTTTCAGTTCTTTAATAAGCTCGCGTCTAACTCGTAATAACTACTGTCGTGTTGATACTGTAAGTTCTCATCAACAGACTACTATATATTGAATGTATGGTGCGGTTAAACGAGTAAAGAGAAAAAAAAACTATAATGGAACTAAATAATGACAAAATACCTGTATAATAAATATACGTCCACACTGTATCCGGAATGGTTCCTCTACAACTGAAATATTTTATGTGTATGTTACTTGTTTTTGTTAAAAGAACTTTTTATCATGACTGGTTTTGTGTTTCTAAAAAATAATTTTGTATTAAAATTATATTGACAAGCTGAGAATCGTTTCGTTTAGAGTTTGGTATACCCGTTAATAATCTTTTTCAACAAATTCTATCAATAAATATATCTTATAACTCTATAGCGAATATAATGTCGATCACATTAATCAATTCTAATTGGCTTCACACAATATTTTGTAAACTTAGCAAGAATATAACTTCACACAATATTTTTTTATAGTAATTTACAAAACAATTGTCATTACTAACGTTGCCAACTGGAAAAAAATTAATGAATGGATTAAAATTATAAAAATATATAGCAATAGTTTTATTTATAATTGTGAGATTGCAATAATATAATAATATCACATAATGATATTCAAAATAAAAAATAAAATGCACTTTCTACTTTTCTATATCAATTATTTGACTCGAATATATATGAACGCCATATGGTTCTCAAGCATTGTCGAACACTTTTCGTTTCTAATTTTCGAACTTGAATATTCTCGAAGTGCTCGTACACTTTGGTCGTAATAATTGAACTTAGTTAGCAGCTGACTTTCACACTTTTCCATTTTTATACCTTGCCAACCATAATCGACTGCAATGCTTCCAATAAATTAGATCAGAACAGCTGATCTCTTGCTTATTAATTCCACTTCAAGTTCGAAAAATATCAATTCGCTTCAATTGACGATTCGAAATAATAGAATTTGAATTCGCCGCTGTAATTTACCATCTGCACTGGCTAGACTTTGACAAGTACCAGAATTTATGAGTTTTAGCAGTAAATATGTGTAATTTTGTGTAGATATGCTTACGTACCAAATAATAGTATAAGTACAAAAATTGCAATTGTGATATGATTATCTATATGACATTTAGATTTTTGGTCATGAAAAAAAAAACAATGTAAATTTGCTGTGACCAGTCTTCATATGCCTATGCATATAATACAAACCTTAATTCTAGATTTTGAAAAGAAATATTGCGGTCATAATAAACCCCAGCAAAGACTTTTGGTTATTACTCCCAAAGTAATAAGTAATTAATTAGTCAGTAGTTGCTACATAGTTAGAACATCGTCCGTTTCTCACTCATTTGTTGTAAATTTTTATTGAAATATATTTGTTACTTAAAAGCTAACCCTTTTATGTATTTATTTTTGGCTTTCCATTGATTTTTGTGCATTTTGCATTCTAAGAAATGGTTTTAGTAGGTTCAAGTCTCACACTGCGAGGGAATCATTCTCGTATTGGCAAAATATATAAAGGAAGATTTTTCTTGGTGAAAAGGACAAATGCAACTCTGTGCTAATCTATACTGTTTCGAACATACAGTATGCGAAAGTATTTGAGAACGAAATAATAAAAGAAAACCACAAAAGTCAAACCAAGAAGTGCACACTCAAGTATGTAGGAAGCTATTAATATTATATTTAAATATTATAGTAATAATCACTTACTATAAGGAACTTTACAATTGTTATGATCAAATATTTTTGTAACAATACATTATATTGAAAAATATAAAGAAAGATGAGATTATCGAAACATCCTAAAATAAAATTTGCCCAGTTCATATTTAACGATTTTCGTAATAAAAAATAGTATTTCTATTCGACTTTTTAATAAATCGTTAACGAAATTGTCAAGAAAATATATAGATTTTTTAATAAATTTTAATTCTTATTCAATTTCAGTTGTGCTTTAATCGCCTTTACGACTTCTCATTGCTGGCATTAGCATTTATCTTTCATTTGGTAAGCATATAATTTTGATTATGTATTTTTATTGTATAAAATATTCAAATCATGTCTTAATATTGTTTTTTTAAGGTAGATATATCAAGAAGATGGCGAGATCCAAAAAGCCACGCAAAGACGTGAAGAAAAAGGCCCCAACAAGCGTAAGGGCGTATAATGGAAAGCAACAAACCGCTTAACCCCGCACAGCCGAGAAAAATGTCCAACCTAAACGCAAATCACACAGACTAAAGCGTCTTGCAAGTAGTATATCTCTTCTTCATCTATGGCTTAAAAACACTATTATGAAGCGACACCGCTACAATCTTCGTGTAAAATTCCATACTACCAAGTTGCGTTATTCCGTCAATACAACGCCAACAACCGGAAAACTTCAGCGATTCCATTCACGTACTAGCCTTAACAAAGTCCGCCGTCGAATTAACTTTGACGTTGAGGAAGAATAATATAAAACATAAATTAATGCCAAATGTTATATATCATACAAACGATTTCATATTGATTCATGACCTGTAACTCATCATATACCTTTTGAAATATATATACATATAACGCATCTATTGTTATCTTGTAATTCTGATCATGTATTTAGTTTGGCACTACTTATTGTTTGCTTGTAGAATAGTCTTCTAAAAGTCTTCTAAATGTGAACGAAGTAGTTCTGTTTAACTCGGACAATTTATTTTATTTTACATAAAGTACATAAAGTACATTTGAACATAGTTCGCATATAAACATAGGCATTAGATTACATACCAAAGTCATTGCAGTATGAATTAACGCCGCAACATGATATTTGCCATACGAATAAGCAAAGGACATTTTATTTTATAAGTGTTACCAAATATTCCCTATCAAATAACATCAGAAGAGCTCTAGTTGGTGGTTGTGTTGGGCTTCTGCGATGTCGACGACTGGTGACTACGTCACGCCCAAAGAAACCACTCAAAAAGGTATTCCATGTTTAGAAAAAGTTTGTATGTAACCTGGAAAAAATGATTTCTTATATTTATAGAGTTATATATAAACTGATTCGATCATATGATTGTACGATATAAATGTTATATAAAAGAGTGCAGTAATATCCAAAGAAATGGCATCTTATTTTAATATATTGTATTAAAATTTTTTTTTTTTTCTGTATATAAGCAGGACGCTAATTTTCATTAATTCCTAATAAATACTATAAATTGTTTTATATACAATACGATTTTATTGTTCTATAAGAACATAGTAAGGGGTGGTTTTCGGGATTTATAAAGAATTAATACATCATAAGTGTTTAATACTGTGAATTATTTAATAACCGCAGTTCTTGAAATAAATCTCCAGCTACAGGCCTTGACTTGTAAAATTATGTATATTCATTTCTAAGATATGATTTTTTAGTAAGAAAAACAATTTCTTAATAACTAAAATTATTTAAAGGCAAATATGTAAATCAGCTGACATAAAATTTCTCCTATGTTTATGTCGAAAACTGAAATTAAATTCAATTACATTTCACCTTATTTGTACGAATAATCGAATATGTATTGTTTTTCGTAGAGTGCGAAAAGCGCATCAGCTGATTCCTTACGTCACAACTAATTCATCTTGTTTTTTGTCAACATTTTATTTTGACATATATTCATTTATTTAATATTTATAATAGGCATAATTATAATATTTAAATATTTATTATATATAAATATATATAATACATTAATATTTATAATATATAAATGTTCAAAATATATACATATTTATAATATATAAATATTAATAATAATTTTTACTTTTATTTATATAATATATATAAATAAATATATTTATATATTATAAATATTATATATATTTGTATATTCCTAATATTAATATATTATAAATATTTTTATTAAAAATATATAAATATTTAAATATTTATAAATTATAAATATTCATAATATATAAATTAATTACTAATTTATAATAACTTATTTTATTTAAAAATATTAATTATTATGATTATTATATATTATTTTATTTTTTTGTTTTTTATTATTCATAAACTAAAATAATCTTCGAATGAGTACTAATTAAAAAAACTATCTTCACATTTCAAATATGAATGAAATTATTACTTCAAATAATTGAGAAAATTAGTGTTTAAATAAATTCTTATCTTGGCAAATAAAATAAAACATGGAAAAATAAACGTCAAACTAAAATAAATACAAAAGCCAAAAGACTTCTTATAGCGCACTTATATTTGCACTTCTGGCATTGAAAATCTGATTATAAATACAGAAATGTGTGTGGAGTTCTGTAATTTGGTGGGCAGGCTTTGTATTTTTTAAATTAGAATGCATATGAGTACGAAAATAATCCAACTTGACAATATTCAAGAATAAATACTTCAGTCAAGTAACACTTTACGGGGCACACATGCGTGAAAAACTCATAACACGCAGTCAGCCTCACATAATACCTACATATGTATGAAGGAAGGCATTGTTAATACGAATAACCGAAACGTAGTCTGTAACAAAAATCCTTAATAAATTTGAGGGCGTAATTGCAAGGATACGAAAAATAAAACTCCCAAAAAAAATTTGGTGATATTAAAAAAAACTCATATGCTTATTATTTAAAGTTCTAATTAAAAGTTTCTTGATAGAAACTTTTTTGCACTTAAAATATATATTTAATGAATAGTTTTTTATAGAATGAAATATATTGAGGTTTTTATTCTTCCCGTGTCGATTAACTAATGCTACATACACAGATATAATGATAATCAACATGCATCTGTGAAAAAATGTTATTGCCAATTAGTGCCCTTTTTAAAACAACTGACGCTACGCACCGACACACTATTAGTCCTCTTTATATAATTTTTTAAATGATTTTTATGTTATTAACAACGCCATTTTCAGGTGTATAACAAATTTAGATATTTTTATAGCAATTTATTTATTTTTTCTTTTCATACGCGTATTGAGATACTTCTGGGAGCGTGTGATAAGCGCAAATCTCATTTGCACGCTAATTAAAATTAAATGCCAACAGGATTTCAGTTGGAATCCTTTTATGCATGACTTTAATATTAAATATTTAACACATCAGGAAATATCATTTGCTTTAAGAATTCTTTAAGTTCTAGTTTAGACTATAGTTTAAGTTTAGACTATTGTGGATATAAATAACTTCTGACTATGTTACAGACTATGTTACTCCTGACGGCGTGCCTGGGAGTATATCATGGTCAGTTGCATACGTGCGGTAAATTCCTTACGATGACCCTCACTTATTCACAGATTTGCATAAATCGTTGCAAAAAATCATAGAAGTTAGATGCTTTTTCCTCTCTGATTTCCTCTCACTGAATTAGATTACAAACTACACATCATTTTTTCCCTTTTAAAAATATTTTTAACATGATTAAGTTTTGTTTTTATGCAAAGTAAGTAGTAATCAGTGAGGGGTAAATAATCCCCTCACTAACACAGTACTATTAAATGTGTTGCTTATCTATTGAAATAATACGCCTAACATAATAAGTGATTTCACTTCTATCATCTGTTGTTCTGTATAATGGATGGAACGTGCTGTAACTAAATTCTTAAAGTATCTGCACTGCTTGATGCAGTCCAATTGAAATATAAAGCGAAACTCATAAATGCATGCAATGCTTGAATTATTAAAACTTACCTTCACATTATTTTTGTATTTTTTTAATTTTTGTTATTTTTTATTTAGAAAAAACAAGTTTAACAAGTCCTCTCAAGTATACGCACAGTATTAAGTAGCCAAGGTAAAATAACTTGAAATAGGATTAGAGAAAAATTGTTTAAAGTACGCATTAAAACAAGTAAACGGCTTTGGGAGGCATCCGTGATACTCGCATAGAAGCAATGACAAGTAATGCAGAAAAAAAGAAATTATATACATTTATAGATATATATAAAGTAAGACAAATATATGTTTATATGTATATAGAACAGCTGCAGGGAATAAATAGAGCAGCTCAGCACACAATGAACTGAGGCATAATGCCACTTCAAACTTGGCTACTTTGGCTTAAGGTGTGCCTTTCATTCTTCATTTGCAACATAATTTTCTCAACGTTAACTTTTTAGTTATATTTTATTTTTTTACTCCATTTCTATTTTTATTTATTTATTTATTTTTTTACAATATTTTTTTATCTACTATTTTTATTATATTTTTTTTTTTTTATTTCCTTGCCGCACCGTTAGTTACCTGTGCAATTGTCCGACTTAAGTACGGTCCTGGTACGTTTATATAAAATAAATTAAAAGGAAAGTGAGTGAAGCATTACAATTTTGCAACAACTTTACGGATCAATTAAAAGTTTTGCTTGCCCTCCATTGCTTTTAATATTTTTCAACTTAATGCTTATTTACAAAGTAACAAAAAAATAAAAATAATAGTTTTATTAATTAAAAATAAAAACAGAAATGTTTTAAAAAGGAAATAAATCTCCTATTTTTTTATAAATAAACAGCCAATGCGGTTAATTGCTTTTACCAGTGCAAACGCTTAATTACTCAAAACTAATATGATAATATGATTATATGATAGCGTTTATATGAGCATTATAAAAAATCAAAAAATACATAAGGGATAGAGCCGTGAAATTATTTGCGAAAACTGACAGACTTACCAACACTGCGTTATCGAATCTCAGAATAGTCAGAATACAGGCTCCTCGGAGAAGTATGCAGATTTGAGGTCAATTATTGCTTAGTCTGATGAAGTGATAAACAATAATCCAGTCAAAGCGTAAAGAGGTACAGGCATTATTGAACCAAATTTAAATCATTGACTTATGGGAAACTCTACACTACCATGGGGCGTATCCAGTGTTGTAGAGGAAATAGGAAGATATTAGTGGATGCATCCTTTCTTGACAATATAATACAGAATACTAAAATGATGAAAAACTAAAAAACGCCTACCAGTTAGAGGAATGGCAGATTTTTTAAAGAAATTGCGTTTTTATATCTATATCTATTTCTATTTATTACGCGGAAAAGAACATGACTATTAAGTTGAGCAATCGAATAAACATTCCACAGTCAGCGGCAAAAGAGACTAGTAGAGCGATGTAATGGTAACAAAAAAGAAAAGATAAGTGATATGAAATCTGTCTATGATGAGAATAATCACCAGCCTGTGAGGTGATTATAATCTTATAAGGAAATTTTATAAGGATCTTATAAGGAAATGAATAACTGAATACGATGAGTACGTTTCGATTTTTAAAAATGTATTATTATTAATTAATTTTTCTGTAGCTGATTTTAATTTCACTCTATTTTTGAATTTGAGAAAAAAACACAAAAAATAATTAGATTGTGGAATACTTTTTTCTTTGTTTTGCTAAAGCTCATCTGTAATTAAAAACTTTAATTTCATCCGTCCATGGAAACATGCAGATGGCAGTAAATGTAGAAAACAAAGTAATTTTGTATCAGTCAGTCATTTTCTCAAATCGTGAAACGGAAACATTAAAATAAGACTGATCAAGTATAAATGTTATTAGTTTGGAAAAATGTATCTCAA